TTTATTCGCATCTTCAGTTACTTTTAGCCGAGCTGTCAGGAAGACGTCATTATATGTGTGTTGTCAACAATTACTAGTGTTACATGCACTGTATTACAGTACTTAACAACTTTGTTGTTGAGAAACGGGTTAGCCTGGTGAGTTATTTTGAGTAACTGCTGTTGGGCTTTGTAATATTGAGTATGCTTGAGTTTGTAATTTAAGGGTTGTCGAGGCTGTTATTACAGCGAACGGTCTCCAGAAAAATATGTGTGAGCATTTTCTTAAATTGTTAACGAAGACTTAACAAAATGCAGCGTGAAAAAGATAACGGGTGTCCGATTGGGCCAATATTGCCAGATTTGATGGTTATAGTAGGTTCATGGCGTCACTACTCGTCCACTTGTTGTTCGGGTCGCTGAAGACTTGATCAAAGAAGTCTTATAAACTGGTCCGACTTTTGCCCACAACTCAGCATTCTTGTGATAACTTTCGGATCGCGCACTGCGGCGTTAAACAGCAGTTATCAAACAATAACAGCTTGAAACTTGTAAAAAGCCTTCAGCCTTGCGGTTCACTGCCGATATCGGCTAACCGGCTCATCACGTTGAACGTGTGAGTGCTCGAAGGCAATGGCACAAATAGCCATTGAGCTGAGAGGGTCAAAAGTGGCCTCGGTAGCGTAATAGGGAACGCATTCGCACGGAAAGCGGAAGATGCGGGTTCGAATCCCGCCCGTGGTCCGACTTTTGCCCACAACTCAGCACTTCTTGTGCTAACATTCGGATCGCGCACTACGGCGGCGTTAAATAGCAGGTGTCAGACTATAACAGCTTTTAAAATCAGAACGTTTCTCTCCATCTTTATAGCATGTTATCGGGAAGAAAGTTACACTGAGGTCCTACGAGATTGTTCTTTGCTCTCGCGCTCGAACTGGGAACCGGTCTCTTACTGTTGGGCTCAGTTGTGCGAGACGCAGAGCTGAGGAAAAAAAATTTAGAAGACCGTGTGAAGATTGGGACTTCTTCTAACCCGAGGCAATCTTTTGTCTTTTTGGATCTATGTTTTGCTAGGCGGCTTTTCTATCCAGCGAGGCATACGCTACGCTTCCATAAGATTCTCGTCTTTAAATGAATTTTATTTTTTGATAAGGTTACTGTTTACTGTTTGTTGTTGTGTTATTTCCCTGTGACGTTTCAGATTTGGCAATGCCTTCTTGAATCGCTTCCAATGTTCTACGCTTAATAACCAAGTACTCGAGAGCGTCACCATCGTCGACACACCTGGTATTCTTTCTGGAGAAAAGCAGAGGTACAAGCTGTTCTCGATTGTTCTGCAGTTTTTGATTACTTCTGAATTCATTCGGTTGGAATCAGTTGTATGCAATGAGGTTTTCCTTAGTAGTTATACAGGGTATCCTGAAATTTACTCATGATTTGAATTATATAGAAGACAGAGCTTTTGGGCCTTGTATATGAGGCGTGAAAGCGCGCTCTGGGTAAAGGGGAGTGAGTCCCGTAGTGAAACGTGCTTGTTCATTCCTTATCCCTGAGACGGAGTGGGCGTGGCGTTCGAATAGGAACAGATGGGTTACTTGTGGGATATTCCTTTGCTAACAAACTGCTCATGCTCTCTAAGAAGCCTGATTAGACGACATTGACAGCAGTTGTCTCAAAATGGAATTGTCTTACCAAAAGCACAGCTACCGCCAAGTTCAGTTGAAGTACGCAGCCACGCCCACCACACCTCAGGGATTTCGAGTGTACGCGTACGGCGAAGAGGGCATGGTGGGACGGGCTCACCATTCGAGATGGAGAGGACGGAAAACCACACCGAGTAGCACTTCAGAATAAAAGTTGCGCGACGCTTTGGGCATTGGGCGGAGCCGTGGTGTCGCGAGCGGGAAGCACCGTTTTTTAGTCATTTCCGAGCTGCGAAAGTAGTACAGCCTGCATGCAGATATTACCACCGTGTCCAAGGAAGCGCCTGAACATCGAATAAACGCGGAACGTGTTTTTTTTTTGGCACGCCCGGAAAGTGTCACCACTAATGCACTGCATAGATTCCATCATTTGAACGACTCCCTCTTTGGGACCAGGCATTTAGCGCTCTCATGTGATCGAATCCGTCTAAGAAAAACCCAATAATGGCAGTGTCGAAGCGGTGTCCCCGCCCGGCCCCCGGTGGTAAAGTTGTTCAAGCCGTTTCGTTATGTTGGCGATCTCGCGGTTGTGCCTACAGAGCCGTGTAGATACTTGCCGAACGTACTTCCGTACATAAGCCTATCAAAATGTGCTTCGTGTTTGTAAAAAGAAGTACAAAGAAAGGAGAAAAGAGATGTTTTCTACCTAATTCAAATCATGTGTAAACTTTGAGACACCCTGTAGAAATACCAAAACCACAGTATCTGCGTCCAAATATCAGTCCCTTTGTGCGATTGCTGTATAGTTGATATCGTTGCAATCGGTTGAGGCAGTTCCAAAAGGGATGGACTGAGCCCATCCGGTTTTTCATTCACTGTTGTTTTGCATTTCGAGAATCGATCCACTAACGCAGTCAACATGCTGGAACTAAGACAGCCAGAGCAGGCTCCACTCGCGCCCCCTTTACACCGCCCCCGGCTGTTTGCAAGCGTATCAAACTATTATTTCTATTAGGCTTTCGCGTGGCTCTGCTCTGCATGCT